GGAATTCATTTGTTTAGTCAATTACCAAAATTTGGATGATTTTGAATATTCACTTGAAAAGTTATCAAAGAAAAACATTTTTCATTTTGTAACTTCGAGGGCCCGTAACTTGGTTACGAAGATTTTTAGGAAAAAAAGTTATATGAAGTACTGGTGATATTTTGACCCCATCTATACATTCCCGAGAGGAAAAGAGGAAGTCCAGGGACACCCTGTATAATAAAATATATTTAATAAATACAAAACAAAGTCATCTTCACAAGAAACAGCACACTACGCCTATGCAGATAAGGACGCTTGATAATGAAGAAACCGAATGACTAGTTATGGTATTTTAAGGATGCAAGTGTTTATCAGTTCACCGATGTTTCAAAGTATTTAACGAATTGGTTCACCTATTCGCTTGTACATCCTATCGATATGCAGAAGCTATCTTGTTACGGGGGGCAAATTTTATGAAATTATTCACAATGGCGATGCATAGACAATAAAAATGACCCCGGTAAGAATTTAGTTCTAACATTTAACATTGTTGCCGTTAGCTCTCAGTTCAATTTGTATATGAGTTACCTTCAATTGAAAATTGTTATACTATAGTACTAGCCCTGAAGTAACACGTTGTCTGTTCAAGGCTAATAGGGCTTGTCTGCTGTCAGTGCAGATTGTTTTGTTTTTACCAGAAATTCATTTCCTTTATTATTATTATAAATTTTATTACTGTTATTATTATGTCAGATCGCTGTGCCATTCCAAAATAGGCCAAGAATCACCCTACAGGCTACTTCCTCTGAAGGAAATCAATTTCCCAGACAGTCAAGGACTCCGGTATAAAAAAACCACCAAGCGAAAAACAAATAATTTCGCCCCCGGGTGGGATCTTCTCAAGGCTAATTACTCAAACGAGAAAATCATTATTGTACACCTTGATTAGCCAAGAAGGTGTCAGGCTATCTCGTTTATCTGACGCGCCTTCGTTATCTCAATTGAAAGATTAAAGGAGAATAGAGATCGGCGATCAATTTGAAAATAAAACGCGTAGCAGGCTAGTTACGCGAACCGTTCGTGTTTTGTTGTTGCGGAGGCAATCTCGATTTGTATACAGGCCTGTCTAAACATTGTAAATAATAATTTTTCAGCGTATTTCGAAACGGGGTCTAAACATTTCTGGCGGATCCTCTCGTCGAAATCTAATATCCCGGAGTGCAGGTGTATCATCGGTACGGGAGTTCGATCTATCCGTAAACGGAGTGATTTTGATGGGAGTGTTTGTTGTAAGACGCCGGAAAAACAAGAGGTAAGTTCCTGGAAGGGATATTTTTCGAAATCGATAACAGTTTTTGAACTCTGAACAGTATTTAAAAAAGCATTATCACTATTATTAGTTAACTCCAAATTGGCAGTGTGAATCATTCTGAAGTATTACGCAATTTTTGGAGCATAATGAAAGGTTTTTTCGATTCTAATAACACTTTACTGTGTTTACGATTTACGTGGTTTGCAATACTACTCTGTTCTAAAAAATAAGCTAATTGTTCATTGCTTTTTTAAAAAAATATTCATTTATTCATCAATTTCTGTTTTGTTCTCTTCAAAGTAGTCTCCCTCAGATATTATACACTTGTGTCAGTGTTTTCCCAATCCTAGAACAAGTTTTGATAAGCATTTTTTGGTATGTGTTCGAGCCCTATCAGCAATTCGGATTTTATCTTCCCAATCGTCGCAAAACGCCGCCCTTTCACGAGTTTCTTCAATCTTGGGAACAGGAAAAAGTCCCAGGAGGTCAATTCTGGTGAATACGTTGGCTGAATCATGATTACGGTGTTTTGTTTGAAGGTGATTGACAATTCAGGGCTTTTTGTTGAACTACTAGGGACAATTGAAGTCACACAGGAAGATCAACTAATCAGTTTCGACGTGGAAAGCCTTTACACCAACGTTCCGGTCGAGGAAGCACTCCAAATCATACAGAGGAAGCTATTCGGAAACGGGGATCTGGAAGACAGAAGTAATTATGGAATTACTAGGATGATGTGTACGAAATTGTTATTTCCAACTGAAGGGCGAGTTCTTTACACAGGATGAGGGACTGCCAATGGGATCGCCACTTTCACCAGTCATAGCCAACATATATATGAAGTGATTTAAAACTCTGGCCATTGAAGAAGCCCACCAGAAACCTCGTGTCTGGTTGAGATACGTTGACGACACGTTCATAATATGGAACCATGAGAATACAGAACTAGACGCCTTCCTGAAACACATCAATATGGTAAGACCTTCCGTCACTTTCACAATGGAGAAGGAAGTCTACAACGAATTGCCATTCATAGACGTAGTGAAGAGGATCGACACTAAGTGGGAAATATCTGTATACTAAAAACCCACTCACACGGCACAGTATTTGAACCACGAATCCAACCATCATCAATCGACTAAAAGAGGAATCATCAAGACTCTATTAAACCGTGCGTTCGGGCTCTGTAATACAAAGTAAGGTCTTGAGAAGGAACTAGACATCATTAAAAATGATCTTCAACGGAATGGCTACTCCAAAACAATGGTGAAACAGCCTCTTGCTAAAAGACAGCAGGAGCCTCGCAAGGAAAAAAAGTTGTCATAACCAGTGCTTGCACTTCCTTACATCAAAGGACTATCAGAAAAGATACGAATAATTGGATCCAAGTACAACATCAAAACCTGCTTCAGATCCGGAAACACTATCCGTAGCAACCTCACGAAAACCAGGCTACCAAACGCGTACTGCGAAACCAAGGATTGCATTAAAACGTCGTGAAGTAACTCGACTTTGAATCTCTTGACTTTTCATTTATTTTTTGTTCAATTGTTCTATTTTTTCTGATATTTTATTTCACTATTATTTAATAATAATAATAATAATCCGCACCTGTGCGGCAGAAATCTTAGCCGCACAGATGCAGAAGGCTGTCATTCTTGGCTCACTGCGTTTGCTCAGGGCACATGATTTTCGGACCCAATGATCACTTACCCCACGGTGTGGAGAGTGGTCATTGGTTGATAATGCTGGCGCGCCCTCCCGAATGTATCGGGGCTTCGGAGGATAGGGCCTGACCAGCGCACACTACGGTGAAAAAAAAAGAAAAAAATGATAATAATAATAATAGGTTTTTATTCTCAGAATGATACAATAAATAACTGTGAACATTTACTTGAAGATCAGTTGGTTGCATCAAAAGATACAACCTCTGTTTATCATATTAGGCCAATATCTGAACCACGAATCCAACCACCATTAATCGACTATAAGAGGAATCATCAAGACTCTATTCAGGTTTTTTTGCTCAATATAATTGTTATTTTCAGCAATTCATTTTTAAATCTTCTTTTTCAGTTCTTTCAGACAATGGAAGTCGGAACTAATGAAATTCACTACGGTATTTGTTTTCAGTCTTTATCGTGATTTGAAAGCCATTGTTATCCACAATACCGGACATTTCCTTTGTATTGCTTCGCGGAAGTAGCGCATAACTTCAAGTTAATAATACTTATTCCAGTACGACCATGTGACAAGAACTCCTGAGGCACTACGCTATGGTAATAGAAAACAGCGAACAAAACCTCGATATATGAGCGATTTTGGACTGCTTTTTATGGTTTTGGCTCTACCGGGCTCTTCCATTGGAACGACTGGACTTTGGATTCGATGTCATAACATGTACCCATGATTCGTTGCCAGTTATGACCTTTTGGGCATATCTGGATCGCCGTTAAGGTCATTTAACAATTTCAGACAGTTTTTTTCCGAAAAAATTGCATGGCATGGGCCAACCAATATGCCGACATTCTCGGCAAATTCTCTAATAGTGATTCGACGATTCTCCATAAAAATTTTCGTCACTTTCTCAACATTTCCATCGAGCATCGTCATTCACACCTTCTGTGAAGATCGATACCCAGAGTACAATCATCGTACGCCCCTGTCAACATTTTCAAGTGTTTTTGAGCACTCAATTCCATTTTTAATACAAAATTTGACAGATATTCTCCTGAAACTGTAAACATTTGTTCGAGACGAGTGCCCCAATATAAAAAAATCACTAATGGAACTAAACTCTTGAGCAATGGTTACCGGGTTCCGTGAACCTTCTCCTTTTCTGTTGAAACAGAAAATATCATTATGGATTTTCTACTTCTGTGAGTACTGAGTATAAAATAATACTCCCTCATTTTAACCTCTTAATGATACGTTTGAAATAAAGTACATTCACCCATTATTCTAGCCCGACCGAAAAACATGATGTACCTATTGATGGGGAAGACACTGGAATTTGGAAAATAGTCTGAAAATAGCTGATGAGGTAAACATGAAATTAAAGCATTGATATCCATAAACACCTAATGGATATAGTGGCCGATATCCAAATAATGAGAGCTCTGTACAAATGCATACTTACGCGGATACAGAGTTATTCCTGTACCTATCAGTCATTTTTATTTGTGTACCAGAATTATACACTGAACTTCCTTGTTTTTTTGTAAAATACCTAGTATAATAATAATAATAATTATAATATGTATTTATTCACTTTCTTGAGATTCCCAGAAATATATATGTACATATAGAAATGAACAGTGAACTAATAAAATACATAGTACGATGCATAATGATCTGCCTGTGTGTAAGATTTATGCACTAAATTAAGTTAAGTACTAAGATATAAATTTAAAATACATTTGAACAGAATATAAATTAATAAAACAAATCAATATCTTGGAATAAGTACTAGATATCGATAATATAACTGGACATATTTGAACAGAATATGGATAATTAAACAATCAATGGGTATAGAGATTTTAATTATGAGGATTCCAGACTACAGTCAAATCAATACACAATAAACCAGTATATCCACAATCGTGGAAATAAGTATTTATTTTTATATTTGTCTATGTATCTGCTCGTGGTATATTCTTGACAAATAATTTAATCTTTGTCATAATTCTTTTGAGGTTTGTTTCGCATCTTGAATTATCAGGAAGAAAACTGTTGAGTTTTGGTCTTGAATACCAACTGCCCAACTGATTTGAACATTAATGGTATGACGATACTATGATTCCGGCGTGTAGCATATTTATGGTAATAAGTAGTTAAGTAATTATTTTTTGTTTTTATGCTGTTCAGCAGTAATATTTATAAAAAACAGCTGATCAGGGATCAAATATTCCAGATTTTGAATAAAGTAGATCGCTAGGGTAGTCGTAACCTTTCCGTAGGATATATCTAATAAATCTCTTCTGCATAACCTCAAAATGAGTTTTCGACACTCCACCCCAACCAATTATACCATATTTCAGATGAGTTTTGATTGTTCCGTGAATTTATTCAAAAAATTCATAGACATTTCATTGTTACATTTTATGAATGCTGGAACGAACCTCTGACAAGCAATTATCCCAAACATCAGAACTGTAATACTCTCCTCGATGTAGATTTCGCCAACCAAGTCTTCAGGAGATGAATAAAACTAATTTCCAACTATAAACATGACACTTTACCTTTCCGGGAAACATCAGCATGTTTATTTGGTGTTTTGCATGTTCGACGATTTTCTGCTACCGAAGAAAATGGATCAGTTAATTTGCATTAAATTTCGTGGAAAAATGGAATTAAGTTCTCAAATACACTTGAATTGTTGACAGTGGTATACGGTGATTGTACTCTCAGTCAGAAAAATGTTTACAAGTGGTACAAGCTTCTCATAGAAGGTCAAGAAAATGTTAATGACGACACTCGGCCTGGACGCCTCAACAAACGATGAAAATGTTGAGATATAGTGAAGAAAATTGTTGTGGAGAATCATCGAACCATTATTAGAGAGGTAGATGAGAATGTCAACATATTAGTTGGCTTATTTCATGCAATTTTTTCGTGAATTTTGGGCATGAAGCGTTTGGCAGCGAAGTTTGCTCCAAAATTGTTGAACTGTGACCAATAAAACCGTTGCATGAGCATCGCTCAGAAATTTTTGAATGACTGAGACTTTCGCAGCCGAGGTTTTCAGCTTCACTATTTTCCGGGTACGAAGGCCGTGAATTTTTCGAATTTCTTCCTGGCATTTCGCTGACGCGAGTGGCCAGCTTCCTCAGAAGTTTATACATCCTGAGTTAATGCCTCAAACCCGAAAAAAAGTGATACCGATTGTTGACTGACGTCATTGGCGATTCAAATTTGAATCTAAAGCAAATGGAACTTCAAACGTTCAAGCCAGTTTAATGGCAGCAGGTTTAATGGACTGACGCCTATCAGGAAAC